GGCATGGAGAGAAGACCCAATGCCCACCTGTAGACAATTGGACATTCCCTTACAGAGGGGTCACATGGAAGAGATGAGCCAGTCAGGGTGCAGTATAGCACCAATGAAACTCACAACTTTCCTCTAGTTCTTTAATGCTTTCTTTCCCTGACTATCATGACCTCAATTGTACCTTACAAATTGGATTAGACCAGAACATGCACAGTGCTACAGATAAGAGCCCGCAGCACAGGGAATCCAGGATAGATAAACCCCTCAGGGCCAACAATGAGAGTAGAGATACCAGGAGGATTAAGGGAGGGTGGGGGCAGAAAGGGGGAACCGATCACAAGGATCAATCTATAACCCCCTCTCAGGGGACAAACAACGTAAAAGTGAGTGACGGGTGACAGAGGACGATGTAAGATATGAAAATAATAATCTTTACAAGGGTTCATGAGGGAGGGTGGGCGGGGGAGGGAGGGGAAAGAAATGGCGAGCTGACCCCAAGGACTCAAATGGGAAGAGACTGCTTTGAGCATGATGATGGCAACAAATGCACAAACGTGCTTGACACAATGGATGGATGGATTGTGATAAGAGCTGTATGAGCCCCCAATAAAATGATTTAAAATTAAAAAATAAGTCTGGGAAACCCTATAGAGGCTTACTGGGCATTGGGATGGACTTGATCAATTGCAGTGGGTTAGGTTTGGGCTCTTTATTTATGGGCTGCCTCCCAGCAGCATGCCTTCCCCGGCCTGTTCCTCACATGTCACCAACGGGTCACAACGTGTCTTGGTTGTCCCCAGGTGAGTCACCGCTCCTTCCTCAGAGTTCTCCAGCAGCAGATAATTTGCACAGACTTAAAACACACATTCTCCCAAACTTCTACAACAGTGACCGGTGTGTATCTGATTTCTTTGCCTCCGTGGGAGCTCCTGTGGGTCAGAGACCAGGTCTTATTGACCTCCGTGTAGCCCTCGTGGATTTAGGGGCTCCCGTCCGTGCTCGGGTGTCTCACTGAGCGAGCAGCAGAACCTCAGCACGAGGAAGCATGATAGCATATCCCCAAAGTCTCATCATCCACACTCCCCAGATCCTTCATCTGGTCAGAGGCCCCACAACAAAATCCCACCCTCTGGTCAGGCTCCAGTACAGCAAGGTGGAAGGCCGTTGTGGCAGCCCCAGCGTCCATCCATCTCTGCAGCTCTTCCTCTTCCTCTTCTTCACTGAAGTGGCATTTACACCCCCAGGCACATGCCTTCCATTCTTCACGTGGCGGCCAGGGTGATCTTTCCAAAAGGTACCCAAGGTCACCTCGCTCTTCAGCTTGGCTGGTCTCGCTCACATCGTCGTAAAATCCAAACTCTTTCGCATGACTGCAGAGACCTTCCTGATCTGGCCCCTCTCTTCCTCGATTTCCGATGGTTTTAGGGACCCAGACGTGGCTCCTCTACCCGTCTCTGGGCGGGTCCGCCCACACGCAGACAGGCCCACCGACAAGTACCCGGCGTGAAGACCGTTACCCATGCTACACCATGCTTCAAGACAAAATTTCATTTATTTGTCATTAGAAATAAATATTTCACAATGCATCATTATGTATTGTGTCCATGATGAGCATGGTGCTTTAACGATGTTCAATTTGTAACAAAGAAAACACGTCCTGCATATCAGATATTTCCATGAAGATTCATCACAGTAGCAAAATGAAAGTTATGAGGTAGCAGCAAAAATGAGGAACTGTCGGAGAGGGTGGTGGCATTCGGAAGGGCGAGAACCACTACTCTTTGCTGTGGAATGTCCGGGGTCTCCGCCGAGACAACTCAGGGCTGGAGGCTGGAGCAATGGGGGGCTGGCTGGGTGTCTCGCTCACATCTCATATGGCGGCCTCAGGTAGTTGGACTTCTTATCTGGCCGCTCAGGTTCCAAGAACAAGTGGCCAGTCCTCTTGGGATCATTGTAAAGTGCCTTCTTCGACACCAGCGGTTCTCAACGTGTGGGTCGCGACCCCTTTGGGGGTTGAACGACCCTTTCACAGGGGTTGCCCGATTCATCACAGTAGCAAAACAGCAGGATGAAGTGGCAAACGAAAATAATTTTATGGTTGGGGGGTCACCACCACATGAGGAACTGTCTGAAAGGGCCACGTCATTAGGAAGGTTGAGAACCACTGTTGTAGACCTGATGGATGAATTCAGCCCCACCCCCAGGCTAGCTCAGGTCCCAAGGGAAGCAGCCTTCGAGCACAGAAGGAGAATTAAGGATGTCAAGATCATTTGTGATATGCCCAAACCACCATCTGGCTTTGTTTATTATTAATTTGTGTGCTTATCTATGTACTTTGCTTACTGAACAAACTGTCGAGAACCAAGAGTCTTGTCTCCTCCCGTTATTGTTTCCAGGTGAGCTACGTAGGTTTGCTTCACCCCTAAATGGCATTTTGGACGTGTCATCCAAGTTGGCTCATTCAACTTTACACTAATACCCTTCCCACCAGAACATGGCCTGGGTCTGGGCGAAGGAAATGGGGAGGGGCACGGTGTTCTATGCCTCTCTTCCCTCTCCCCAACCCTTCTTTTCTTTCCCACAAGATGGGGAAGCAAAGCCCGAGGGGAAAGTTCTCCTCAGCTGCGGGCACTGCTTGTCTGGTGGTGAACGTGTTAGCGTGGCAGGCATCCAGAGGCCAGCTCTCAGGTCAGGGGCGCCATGGGATCGTTTCCTTCTGGGGAGATGCTCTCCAGCTCTGAACCTGCCTCTGACTTCTTCCTCCACACCTATTGCACAGAGCCCTTGGGGTCTCCGCACCTGCAGGCCGCTCCCTTGGTGGGGAGCCGGTTCACGGCTATTCACCTTCTGCCATGGCTGCCTGACCCATGAGGAACTCTGGCTGGATGTCCCCAAGTGTCCCCTGTCTTTCTGCCACTCTCTAAAGAATTCTCTCCATCCAGCTCCCCACAGGCTCCTCTGAAGAGCAGAGCCAGTGCTGGGGAGAGGGGCAGAATGGGTCCAACCCCCAGGACTCCGTCCATCGCCCCCTTCTCTTGCCCTCACTCCTTCCTGGCCTTCTGCGGGTGGGGTGTGTGTCAGGAGGGGGTCACTGGTGGAGGTTACTAGCTTCAGCTACCTGTAACAAAGACCATTGTTGAAGGTGATTTTTCTTTTCCCTTACCAGTGGGCCACGCCAGACCCTTTCTTCTTATCTCCCAGTGTTATCACGACTTCAAGCAGTAGAAAGGACCCTCCCAGGAAGGCTTGGTGGTGCTGCCGCCTCTGCTCCATGCAAGCTCCCCGGGGGCAAGAGGACACGGTCCTTGTGTTTCATTCACCTCTGGGACCTCAGTCCTCAGAGCAGTGTCTGGACCAGGAGGCCAGCTGAGATCCACCCATAAATGATGAGCAAATGGAAAGGGTCCTTTGGAGCCTAAATGATCAGAATGGGTTGTGGATGGGGCAGCTGGGCCTGACAGCCACTCCCTACTTGTTCCTGCTGGGTGGCCCCCAGCCCTGGGTTCACTTTTTGTTTCTGGCCTCCAGGAGCACCCTCTCTGCAGTGGCTACTTGCCTGGGTGGGGAGGGCTGACCTTCATCTGGGCGACCATGTGACGCTGAGAGCCTTTGAGATGCTATCAGGGCTGGGCTAGGGTCCCCCGGGATGAGCCAGAGGCCTGGCCAAGGGGCGGGAGTGCTCTTCCCAGCTCTCAGCCGGCCAGAGGCCATCGCTCCCAGTTCACAACAGCTGTAGCCAGAGAGCAGAGAAGGGAGAGCTAAAGTGCATTTCTTCTGCAAAGTGAGGGTCCCCTGGGGCTGACCCACACCCCTCTGTGATCACCAGCCAGGAGCACATTTGGACCAGAGCGTCCTCCAGGAGACCCCTGGCCTCAGTGAACAGGTCAGCTGCCTTAGGAGGGCCACCCCACCCCATAGGGTCATTTGTGACTTCCCTCCGAGGCCCTACGCCAGCCCCTGGCCCCTGTAGATTTGTCTGAGCAGGTCACATGAGGGAGCAGGGCCAAAGGCGACCGGGAGAGGTCCCCCTCCGCACCGCCACCCTTCCGCGCACACCGAATGATAAGACATGTGTCCACACCTTGCAGGCTTCCTGAGAGTGAATGGTTTAGACTAAAAAGTAACCCTACGAGTACGTACGTTGTTGTGGTCTTTGTTCCAGCCACGGCATTAACGAGGGAGCAGAGGAGCATGGGAGGTCAAAGGGCAGAACAAATTGAGTGGGACCTGCAGCTCTGGCTTCTAGCAGCTGGACAGGCCGAGGATACAGCCAGGTGAGGACCCTTGGGGTGAGGACCAGGACATCGGCCTCACTTGGGATCTCCACGGCTGGACATGGGGCTGGGTGTGGGCAGCCTGGTGGGGGCGTGGGGAGGAGATGGGAAGGGCTGTGTGCTTGAATTTGATGGTGCTCTGGATGACTGGGGCCAGGCTTGTCCCCAACTTTGGGGACAAGACTACTTGGGAGCACCTTGTTGGGAGCAGTGTAGACCAGGGCTTTGCCTAAAACAGCTGCAAAGAAGACACCCCCTCCACCCCCAGATGTGACCAGAGCAGGCCTGAGCTGCCCTGAGGGCAGGTCTGGGGCAGTCTGGGTAGGCCCCTCTCCGGCCACTGAGACCTTGGCCAGGGCCCCACGGTAACGCCAGCATGTCAACATCAAACGGTGTCTAACAAGTTGAGTGAGAGAAGTCACTCAGTGAATGAGGGACATAGCTCAGGCCTCTGTCTCCCAGCTCAGAGTTCTGAGTCTCTCAAGTCTCAAGAAAGGGACGTCCCCTCCCTGGGCCCCAGTTCCTCTGTTGTCAAAGGGAGGGAGCAGGGAAGGAGGGAGGAGGGAGCCAGCGACACAATGTGTTTTCTCCCAACCGGAGGAGGCAGCACTGTTCCTGGGCAGACTTTTCAGATGAGGAAACTGAGGCTCACACAACTCAGGCGGTCTCCATTGCCCCTGAGGGCCTTCATCCTGCTTCCAGCCCCGGCAGACACACTTGCACGGCGCGGGCAAGTCGATTCCGGACTAAAATACTTTATTCAAAAGAATCTGGCTAGGCAGTCAGATGGCCCAACGGAGGGCAGCTTGTGTGGGGTGCCAGGGACCTCAGGGAACCGGTTCCCCTTGTCACATGCCACTGGGCTAGGACCCTCCCCCAGTGGCCTCCCCTCCCTCATCCCCGTTCATTCAGCCCAGAGCCCACTCTCGGCCTCTGGCTGGTGAAGGGCAGCCCCGTCGTTGTCAGTGCCTGGGCTGGAAAAATCCATGTTCCAGCACAAGGCCGTATGGGGACCCAACAGCCACTGTTCCTGCTGCGCTTGGCCATCTGGTCTCCAAGGCGAAGCGGACGGACGGGAGGACGAGGAATCGACTGCATCGCCTCCGCTTGCCCCCTGCCCACGCAGTCAGGGACAGGGCAGCCCAGCTTGGGCTGCCACACCCTCGCGGGGCCAGGAGTCCTCCAGACGTGGGCTGCTGTCCACGGCCCAGGAGCAGGCCCGGCGCTGTCCTCCTTTCCCTCCCGTCGGTCATGTAAGGCACTGAGTTCCTGAGGGTCCTGTCCGTCCCAGACCTTCTCGTGGAGGGTGCCAGTCGTTCAGCAGGGATACAATTGGCCAATAAATAGGGTTTCGGTGCCAGCAGGGAGGTAATTGAGTGTGACGGTAATAAATACACGAGCCAGGGGTGGGGTCCTCTCTCCTCCAAGGGGTTGGTTACCTCGGGGGGACAGTATCGCCGCGCCTGCCAGAGACCAGACACAGATGGGGCTGTCAGCAGGTGGCGAAAGCTGGGGTCCTCTCCGAACGGCAGATGGGGGTGGGGTAGGGAGGACAGACCCAGGGGGGAAGCTTGAGTGGGGAACACAGAAAGAATGCAGCCCTCCTGCCACCCACCCCCCTCTTACCCAGGAGGAAGGCACCATGACCCTCCTCTCACGGGTGAGGCGATGGAGGCTCAGAGAGGTTCAGAACCTGCCCAAGATCACACAGCTAGCCAGTCAGTGGCCGAGTGAGGATTTAAACCCAATCTGACTCCGATGCCTCTGTTAGCCTAGGGTCTTCAAATGGGTAGGCCCGGACCCCTGGGCGTGCATCAGGCTTGATTAAGGGGCGCGTGGGTTCTGGGGGTTTTCTAAAGCAATGGATCTGCAGCCTCCACAATGCCTCTGTCTTAGAATCATCTGGGGGAGGAAGTGTCTGCGGTCGTTTTCTTCACTGCCCCCTTCCCAACTTTTAGCCAGAAGGGACGGGCATCTGACCCGTTTCAAATGGTTACAGTGCTTGGCCCCAAGGTAAACACACCCAGACACGTCCAACCGAAAGGGCAGTGTGCACTGTCTGTCCCTGTCGATGTCCAGAAAGGAAATACGGCTCATGACTGGGTGCGCGGGACTTCTGCAAGGCTGGTGGTTCTCAGGGTTCAGCCGGCCACCCCAGTGCATGAGCTGGGACTGTCAGTGCGCCCTTCCTTAGGAAGGCCCTTTGCTGACAGGTCACGATGAGTTCTTTGGCAAGGGACTTGGAAGGAAACCAAGCCACCAGGTGACGTAGAGAAAGCAGCCTGCTTCCAGGCCTATTTCTTGTTTGTGTGACCGGGATCCTGAAGTTTCCCGTTTATTTAAACGAGTTGAACAGGAAGGGGGATCCGGGCTAAAGTCTGTCTCTGTCTCATGGGGAGTCACACTCATGGACAGACACTTGAAAACAAGTGTCTTGTCCCTGTCACGGGGAGGGGTGTCCATGAAGACTCGCTTTCATGGCTAACGTTTACGGACCTACGATGACCCATGTGTGCGTGCTATTTCCATCAACTGGCATTCTTACTAAGAACCAGCCCTCTGCAGAAAGTTGAACAGAGGGGAGCTTGCTGCTCATGGGGACATGGGAAGGAATCGGAATGTGTGTGCAATTTTTGAGGTGGAGAAAGGTGATAAGGTGATAAAGAAAAAGATTTCAGCTTTGAAAATGCATTCGACTGGGCTGAAATTCTCCAGGGGGCCTGAAACGGAAGCACAAGCTCAAAGCCGAAAGAAGCAAAGTCGTAGCAGCTCTTAAAGGGGACGTGCGGGCAGTTTCTTGGTTGCTATTGTTCACTGCACACACACACACACACACACACACACACACACACACACACCCTAGATCAGCGGTTCTCAACCTGTGGGTCAGGACCCCTTTGGTGGGTCAAACAACCCATTCGCAGGGGTCGCCCAATTCATCACAGTAGCAAAATGACAATGATGAAGTAGCAACGAAAATAATTTTATGGTTGGGGGGGTCCCCGCCACATGAGGAACTGTCTGAAAGGGTGGCGGCATGAGGAAGGTTGAGAACCACTGCCCTAGATGGTGGGGAGCGTTAGATTAGAATCGCATCCAGTACATCTGAAGAGCTGGTTTACAGTCAATGTGGATGAAATAGCTTTAGGTGAGAATTGTCATGTTTGTAATCGACCAGAAATGATAGCCTTAGTAAGTGTTTGTAATTAGGATAAAGAGGCCCAAGGCCAACTTTCAAATGACCAAGAGAACACGTGGCCTTTTGTCATTCTTTCAGCAAGCGTTTGAAGACCGCTGCCCTGGGAAATGAGGCCAGAGGGGGGACACTTTATATCTGAGGCTCCCTGGCCCTGGGTGGACGCTGCACCCACTTCAGTCACAGCTCCTTCCTCAAACCACTGCTTGGGGCCAAGGGCGAGCGTCCCTGCCGTCCCAGAGGGGTGTGTGTGTGTGTGGGGGAGTCCCTGTCTTCCCAGAGGGGTGCATGTGTGTCAGGGGGTGTCTTGGTCTGTGGGGTGTAGGGGCAGAGGGGCGGGCTTGGAGCAGGGGTCAGCTCCCAAAGCGTGAACTGATTCCTGGAGTCCTGAGCCGGGAGAGTCCTTCGCCCCTGACAGTGAGCCAGAGCTGTGAGTGATGCACTGTGCCCGTGAAACGGTTTTGTGTTGGTTTTGCTTATTAACCGTATATACTCCAGTATAAGCCAAATATCTGCTGAGGCATCTAATTTTACCACAAAAACTGCATTAAAAGTGTGTTGGAAAACTCGGCTTGTACACAAGTATATACGGTACTTTTACAGGCTTGGGTTTGTTTTTCTTTCTCTCCCCACCACACTCAGGGCTGGGACTCCAGCCTGTAGGCCCCAGATGAGAGACCAAGATGGGCAGGTAATACGGAGAGCGGAGGAGGAGGCAGCAAAGAGGAGGATCCCCCACCCCCGGCCCCCTGGCCTCAAGGACCCTTTGGGATCCAGTGTGAAACTGTACCTTCCCCCCAGGGCCAGCAGGGTGACTTTTTGATTGCCAGATAGCCCTAGATAACTTTTAAGGTGCTAGAGCAGTGGTTCTCAACCTTCCTAATGCCGGGACCCTTTCATACAGTTCCTCATGTGGTGGTGACCCCACTACCATAACATTATTTTCATTGCTACTTCATCACTGTAAGTTTGAATCTCGTGTAAATATCTGAAATGCAGGATGAATTAGGTGACCCCTGTGAAAGGGTCGTTCGACCCCCAGGTTGAGAACCACTGTGCTAGAGTGTTCTCACTAGAAGGTCAGCACCATAAGAGCGGGGCACCTGTTTGCTTGCTCACGGATGCCCCCGGCCAGCAGTGGGTCAGCAAGTATTTGAAGAGTGACCGAGTGCTGGGCAGGTCCGTCTCCCCTCTACTCAACTAGGCTCAGGAGAGGGAAAAGACATGCTCAAGGCCACATGCAAGGCTAAGCTGGACAAGAACCAAGGGCCTCCAAGGCTTCCTCAACCCTAGCATCTCCAGGGGGTGCAACTCCCTGCTCTGCCCACAAGACTGCCCTGAGCCTTGCCTCACCCATCCCGGACGGCTAACCCCTGTGGACAAGGCGCAGGCTCCTCTCTGGCCCGGCCTCCTTGCCATCCCTGGGCCCCCACACACTCACGGGTGGCAGTCTGTGGCTCTCTGCTTCTCTCTCTTCCTCTTCCCCCTGCCCCTGTATCTCCTCCTGCAATAAGCCAAAGCGTCAGGACTAGGTGGCTAGGCCCATGCTAGGATAGGGCTGGCAGGAAGAGCCCCAGCCCCAGCCCCAGCTAGACCACTTACCTTTCCGGCTCTATCCTCTCCCACATAGGCCTGGAGAAACAGAGAGGGGCAGGGGAGAAGCAGGAAACGTGGTAAGTGGGGGCTTCAGGTTACCTCTCCTGTCCTCCTCTCCCCACCCCTCCTTTCAGGCAGCTCAGCTCCTGGATGTGAAGTTGGCACTGAGACCACTAGGGGGTGGTATGGAGCTAGAGAGTGGCATTTGGCCAGAGGCCTCCAGAGTCTAGACTTCTGCCCGCCCTCTAGTCTCTAGAGACACCCCCCCAAGAGAAGGACTAAATTCCCTTGTGGGACACTTTCTGCACTCGTATAGACCCCAGCCGCTCGGCCTCCCACCCTGGGTATTTCTGAGTCTGTTCTCACAGTCCCGCCACGCCCAGCTCTGCTCCCGCCCCTCCCTTGTTCTGCCCTGCCTTCCAGCTGGTTCGAGAGCTTCTCCAGGGGCGGGGACAAGGCAGGCCAGGCAGGAACTGGGGGATGGTGCCAGCTAAGACTACCTACCAGTGCACACCAACACCCCCCCACTGCCACCATCACCACTCACCACCACCTCCATCATCACCACTACCCACCAACAACCAGCACTAACCACCATCACCATTACCACTACCCACCACCGCCAACCCCAGCACTAGCTACCAGCACCTGCACCATCGCCACTAACCACCACCATCATCATCTCCACTACCACTACCACCATCATCATCTCCACTACCACTAACCACCACCACTAACTACCACCGTCACCATTACCACCACCACTAACCACCATCGCCAACCAGCACTAAACCACCACCACCATCACCACTAACCACCAACACCTAGTACTAACCACCACCACCATCATCATTAACCACCACCACCAACCATCACTAAACACCAGCACCAGCACCCACCACCACCACCACTAGCACCACTAACCGCCACCACCCATCACCACTAACCATTACGTCCACCATCACCACTCCGGGGACGTGTGAATAGAGGATGTGAAGGGGAGGATGAGCGCAGGCCAGCAGTCACCAAGCATTCTGGACCTGCCTCCCAGGCTATGGCTATGGACCCCAAGCGGGAAGACAGGGGTTCCCACTGTCTGGCCCATCAGAAGGGGACAGGCCTCCATCTTCCCTGGTCCTGCTTCTGGCTCGGCTGCCCAGTTGGCCCTCTGTGGGTGCACAGCCCGGTCCCGAACAGGGTCCAGACTTGCTAGGTTTATGCCTCCAGGTCCTCTTGCTCGGGCCTGTGGCAGCTGCCTCCTATCTCGGGCCGCGGTGGGAGACTGGGCTCCCAGCCCTGTAAAGGGCCCAGGCTTTTCATCCACGCACGGTGGCATCTCGGCAGCCGTGTTCCAGCTACTGAGAATATCTCCCCGGCCACAACTGAATGAATTCAGGTGACAAAAGAAAACACAGCCGCCACCGAATGCCTCAGACTGGGCTCCTGTTTCCCTGCAGCCCGCAGCCAGGACAGGCAGCCCGGTCTCCTCCAGGAGCCCCGTAGACCCACCATCCCGGAGGCTCCCGGAGGGGGATGTGGAGGGCCTGCTCCTGCTCCAGCCAGAACCTACCTGCAGTCACAGCGCACGTGCTGAGAGAATGTCATCTCCACATAGGTGGGTGGGGTACTAGGGTGGATCCTCAGGAGCTGCAGGGAGACAGGGGTGGGGGTGAGGGGATGCCTGCATGGCAGGGAGGCCCAGGGAGTTCTTACAGCCCCCTCACCCCCACCCCCTCCTGCTGCACAGTCCTGGGCAAGGGAAAGGGCATTATTGCCCCACTTCAGTGTCCTTGATTGGAAGATGGGCACAGCGCCTGTCTGCCAGGAGTGAACGAGGCAGCACTGTAACGTGCCTGGCACAGTGCTGGTGGTTGTGTGTGTGTGTGTGTGTGTGTAAAGCCTCAGGGTCAAGCTTCCTTGAGAGGGCATCGAGGGCCCCTAGGATCCTCAAAGACCAGGTCAGTAGCCACGGAGTCATTTCTCACGCAGGAGACCCCATGTGTTTGTGAGCAGAACGATATTCCCGGGGCTTTCAGTGGCTGCTTTCTTGCAAGCAGCCCACCAGGCCTTTCTTTTGAGGCACCTCTGGGGTAGATGGGGACCCCTCTCCCCGTCTTTTGGGTTCACCGTGGAGGAGGGCTTAGCAGTTTGCATCAGCCAGGGGCTCCTCCATATAAACAAGGCCCCCTTAATAGGAACCAACTTCCTTTCCAGCCTCAACTAGCCTGCTTTCAAACCCGCTGGGTCTTGAGATCAGGTTGAGCCTGGGGAAGGCTTCTCAAGGTGTTTGTGGATGCCTCAGAGCCAAGAGGGGAGCTCCGGAGGAGGGCGGGAAGCCGGTGCTGTCCTGGGCCCTTGGAGCAGGGCTGTGGGCGCCGGCACTCAGGGGGGTGGCTTTCCTACCTGCATGGTGATGTTGGCCGTCTCCACGGGTAGGCACTGCAAGCTCTCGTCGCTGCAGCAGCCCATGCAGCGTAGCAGGGAGATGCAGGACGGGCTGAACAGGTACTCCACCTCGCTGGGGTACTCAGACGCGACTTCCACCAGCCTCTCCAGGGGCCGGCAGTAGCTGCGGCTCCACACCTCCTCGAAGGGGACCACTGCACAGAGGTACAGGCCACAGGTCAGGCCAGAGGGGGACCCGTCCCCAACCCATAGACCGCCCTCCCAGTCCCCCTTGTCTAGGAAGCCCCCTTCCCTGAGCTCCTGAGGTGACCCCTCTGAGGGTGACTGCTGAACCCTCAGCCCATCTGCCCGGTGGTGCAGAAGGTCACGTCCCTGTGTCTGAGTCTCAGCTCAGGCACCACAGGAAGTCCAGTGTCCTGGGCTCCCCCAAGGAGTGTGTGCCTGCCCACCCGCAGCTCCCAAGGCCCTCAGGCTGCTTCCTCCAGCTCAAGGGCTCCCCAGGGTGGACCGCCTTTGTCTTCAGTCTTCTGCCCAGTCCCCTCCATGGCTCCTCTCCTCCCTGCCCTGCTGAGTGCCAACTCCTGTGCCTGGCACCCGGGACCCCAGTCAGCAGTGTGGTGTATCCTGACTCCCTCCCTCACCACCCCCACGCCAAGCCGGGGGGTCATGCCATGGGAATCCCCACCTTTGGGCTTTCCACATCTATCCCAAGCCCTCCACCCCCCACCCCCAGGTTCCTCCAGGACCACCCACACCTCCTCTCTGAAATCCTCACCAACATTCCTGCCAGAACAGATGTTCCACCCTGGAACAGAACAGGGTCCCAAGGGATTGCCTTATCTTAGTCCTTGGGAGCTCTTATCTGCTTTACAACCCCATTGAGCCTCCCGTGAGGACAGGGACAGAGGCACCCAGTAAACACAGGCTAAATAACTACTGATTGATTAGAGGACAGTTCTCAGAGGGTTATCTGGGACATCCCCAGGCCCTACTATGTCCTGGTGGCGTGAACAGGATCTCTTAGGGGTTGGCCTGGGAAACTTCAAAGAGTAGCATCACTAGGGGGGGCGGGCAGGGGTGAGGGTGGCAGACCACACCAGGTGACACCGTTAGAGGCGGGGGCATCAAAATGACCATGCTATGTTTCAGCAGAAATCTATTTTTAAAAAATAAAATGATCCCTAAACTTACTTCTAAGGAGCCTTGGTGGTGGTGTGGTTACGCGTTGGGCTGCGATCCGCATGGTCGGCAGTTCAAAACCACCAACAGCTCCAAGGGAGAAAGACTGGGCTTTCTACTCCCATCAACAGTTACAGTCTTGGAAACTCACAGGGGGCTGCTATGAGTCCGCATCCACTCGGTGACAGTGAGTCTGTTTTATTTTTAGAGCTACTTGTAGCAACAAAACCATTTTCCATAAGCCCGGCTTATACTATCGCTGTACCCTCAAGGCTAACCCCAATGCTTGCTCCCCTTTTAAAAGCTTCTAGTGCTCCCTGGTCAGAGCTGTGGTAATTACCCAATTACCACGGGTGTTTTGCGCCAAGTGAATGCTGTTTCATTGCGGCCTGCGTTTTTAATAGATCCTTGATTTTGCCAAGGGTCCTGATGTTTCAGTTATGATATTGTGGCAATTAGTCTTTGTGACACTTTATCAATAAGTTTTCCTTGAGAATGAAAGAGCAATTAAAGGAAGAGAAGGAGAAAAAAATTTTTTAAAGGCTTCTGCTCTGTTGCTACTGCTATTGTCCTGATGATGTTATCATCCAGCGAAGAAAGATTCTACAAAACAATTTTGCCAGTGTTGGCATAATCTATGAACTATTACATGTAATAGATTTGCCACATACCATTCTAAGATCAAAATGACCCATAGACAGTCCCGAGGCTGCTGCAGGAGGCCCTGGTGGGACGGTGGGTGTGCACTGAGCTGCTAACATAACAGGGTGCACAGTCAGTCTTGCTAGGAGCTAGCATCGACTCGATGGCAGGGAGTTTGTTTTATGTTCGCAGTTACTTATGGCAACAAAACATTTCTCATAAGCTCTATGGTTCCAAACCCTGAAGCTTTCTACTCAAAGAGTGACATTCTCTGACACCCACCGGGGTTGGTCTCCTGGTCCCACAGGGGCGGGACGAGTTAGTTAAATTGGAAGGGTTCTGTGTGGGTAATAGGAACTCTGATGGTCATGCATTGATCCACAGTTCAAAACCACCAGCCAGCCGCTCCCTGGGAGAGAAATGGACTTTCTGCTTCCATTTAAGACAGTGGTTCTCAACCTTCCGAATGCCGCCACCCTCTCATACAGTTCCACATGTTGTGGTGACCCCGTAGGTCAGCGTATCTGCAAGTGGGCAGATCCGCCTGGAGACGGATAGAGGAGCGGTGTCTCGGTGCCGAAGACCATCGGGAATATGGTCTTAGGTGACCCCTGTGGAAGGGTCGTTCGACCCCCAAAGGGTTCGAGACCTCCAGGTTGAGAACCGCTGGTTTAAGCAGTACAGTCTCAGAAACTCACAGGGGGTAGCTCTACCCTGTCCTATAGGGTTGCTGTGAGTTGGCACCGACTTGATGGTAGAAAGTCTGGTTTGTGTTTTTGGGGTATGGGTCACAGAGCGGTCCATGGAGGGATGACACCAGCCCCCCAAAACACCTTGCACCTTCAAGGAAATGCCTAGGGCCAGGGTCCAAATGGGCACGAAGGAAGTGAGCAGCCAGCGCTGAGAGACTTGGCTTCCTGCCCAGGCCCTACACTGGCTGTGTGACCTTAGGGAGGCCACTCAACCTTTCTGGGCATATCACTTTCCTCAGCTGGGGAAAGAGAAGACGGTTGGGGACAGATGGGAGCGAGGTCTCTCCAGCTCGGCCCAGCCATTAAACAGGGGGCAGAGAAATCTGTCCTGCCCTGGGTCACCTTGCCCATGCCTGACAGTCATCCCTAGCTGGTCCGGAAGGACGGGGGACCTGGGTCACCTAGGAGCCCTGCCATCTCTGCCATAGAGCAATGGCCCCTCACTTCTTCCATGTCCCTTCCTAAGGGAGCCAAAGTCCATTGAGCCTGCGAGGACATGAGTCCCAGGGCAACCTCATGGGGAAATCAGCCCCAGGTCTCACAGAGGCCCTCGGAAAAGGCCGAGCGAGCGAGCGGTGGAAAATACCCAAGAGGAGACGTGTCCACGTGGCACTGGCAGAGTGGCCAGAGGCAATAAACCGTGCTTATCTGGGAGTCTGCTGCCCAAGGGACACTGGGGCTGGGGGCCCCTGAGGCCTCCCCCATCTCCACCTCTCCAGACCACTAGGACACACCCCTAAACCCAAGTAGGAAACGATGCCTCTTTCCCTGTCTTTGCAGTCTAGCCCCCTCCACCCACCCACCCACCCACCGTCAACCCTAGGAGCTGAGTGTTTAGTCTAAAGTCTTCATCAGTACTGATGTGACTGAGCATTTAATCTCCTTCTGGGAAAACATAAATAACAGCTGAAGAACAGCCAGTGCCAGAGTGCCACACAGGCTGGGACCGGCCCCAGCGGGGGACAGCGGCAGGGAAGGAGTGCCCCAGGCCCCTACCATCACATAAATAGAAGCCCACCAGCTGGGCAGAGCTAAGCAGAGTGGGCTTGGCCTGGCCAAGGCAGAAAGGATTTCCTTTGCTCACCCCCAGTTCTGCCCCCCACCACCACCAAAAGAAAGCCTCTCAGCAGGACGCAGGCTAGGGGCCCTGAAGGCCTGTGGGGTCTATTGTTGGGAGAGGACCCAGAGGAAGGTGGGCCCAGGAAGCTGGTTTACCTGGCAGCCACCAGGAAAAGGGGCAACTCTCCCTAGATGTCCTGGCTGGTAATGGGGGTGGGGGGGGGAAAGGCGGGAATAGGGGGCTGGGCGAGGGGCCCTGCTGAGGGAGTGGCTCAGGGACTGGTGGCCGCTCCCAGATGTGGGCTGAGCCCCTCAGGAAGAGCTCTGCCCAGTGCTCCCAGAGAGCACTTCCTCTGGCCCCAGACCTGCTCCCCAGGCGGGGGTGGGGTGAGGAGTGTGGGAGGCGGTGGCCCAGTCAGGCGGCTGGCTAGGCCTGGACGGGCCCCAAGGGCTGCCTCTGGGCCAAGAGTGGGCTCTGGGCTCTCCTACCAGAGCCTCCCAACCGCCCCCCACCCCCCAGCTGCTTACCACTCAGGAGAGAGGGGGCCCCTAGAAGTTTAAGCTGGGGAGCAAGCTCCCTAGGAGGTGGGCCAGGAAGAGCTGCTGTGGGCAGAGCTGCTGGCCACTGGCCAAGCCTGGCAGGTATCCTTCCCATGGCACCCAGCCAGCCACCTAGGGACACCCCGCTGGCCTCTGCTCAGCCAGCCGTTAGGAGCTTGGGGCTGCTAGGAACCTCCATCCTGACCACAAGGCCAGGGGAGGGGGTCCTGACTATGGAGTGTGGAGACAGAAACCTGTGCCTTCCTGGTCCCCAGCCTGGGGTCTGGACAGTAGCAGTCGGAGCCTGCCTCTGCAGTGGGCCCCACTCCGCTGACAGGAGAAGCAGGCAAGCTTAGATTGTGATCCTGGGGCCAAAGATCCCAGAGCTGCTCCCCTCGGCCACCACACAGGCTTCCTGACAGCAGGCCAGGCGACCTCACCTAATGCACCCACACTGCCCTACCTCCTCACTCAGCACCCACGGGCCTCCAAGGAGTCACCCACCCCTATCATCTTAGGACAGCGGTTCTCAACCTGTGGGTCTCGAACCCTTTGGGGGTTGAAGGACCCTTTTACAAGGGTTGCCTAAGACCATATTTCCGATGGCCTTAGGAACTGAGACACTGCTCCTCTATCCGTCTCCAGGTGGGTCCACCCACATGCAGATACGCCCACATACGGGGTCACCACTACATGAGGAACTGTATTAGAGGGTCGTGACATTAGGAAGGTTGAGAACCACTGTCTTAGGAAAACCAGGAACCTTGGGTATCACCTCATTCCACAGCTTCCGTTTTACAGGTAAGGAAACAGAGGCTGGGACTTCTCTGATAACTCTGGCTGAGCAGCACTAGAAGCATCAAAAAGGGCGGGAGGTGCAGGTATGGGGTGGGGGTCCCTCTCCAAATCTCAGAGGTAGTGGAGGAGCCAATGGAGTGCAGAGTGACCGAGGGGCTGGGACCTGGTGAAGGAGCAGGGGCTGAGGCTAGCTGCCAGGCTGACGGGCGGTGCCCACAGGACTGCTGAAGATGTTCCAAGCTCCCAGCGGGTTCTCCCACGTGTGCGTGTGCACGCCCCTACACGCTCCCTCTCCCACAGCGCTGTGGACGTCTTGGCAGCAGTGTGTGGTCACTCTGCATGTCAGCTAGTCCTGGTGGGAGTTGGGGGAGGCATAGAAGAAGGCAGAGGCCTGGTGTGGGCCTCCTGGCTTCTGCACGTATGTCTCTTTGGCAAATGTCTCATTGCCCTTTGATGATTCCCTCTTGATGCAACCCGGAGTGGGGAGTGGAGGGGCTGGGGAAGGGCGAGCCTCATGTTCTGTCTGTTTATAATCAATGAAAGCTGAGGGATGCCCGCAGCTCCGCCAGGGCTGCGCTGCTGGGAAAGCCCCCCACCCCTTCCTGGCCCTCTGGACTGCCTGCCCACTGAGCCCAGGTTGGCCCCTGGCATTCACTTCCTGGACCTGATTTGCCCCCTCACGCCGTGCAGGGGAAGGGGCTATCCGGCCAACAGTCCAACCCCAGGCATTCTATTCTTTGCTGTGTGCTCGGTGACCCTGCTGCAAACTCTACCAAGTCTAGCCTTCTGGGTCATAGTGGGGACATCACTTAGGCCCTACCAGTGCTGTCTAAGGTGAAGGTTCTTCTCAGCTTACGATCGGCCTGCCCCAAACATACGGGCTCGAACACACCAACTACTGGAAGGGTGGCACTGTTTCCTTCTGCGGTACTCAGAGTATGAGTGGGAATCAACCCCACAGCATCTAACACCAGCAAAGCCTCCCCCATGCCCACCCCTGCCTTAGCCTTGGCAGGAAAGAGGAGAGGGGCTCAGTAAGTTGGGGCACTCCAGCCCCGTCAGCTTACCTCTCGCCTCTGAGGAGCCATTCCTAGAAGACAGGATATTACGTACGATCCATGGCTGAGAAGAGAAAGGGGCAGGGATGAAGGACTGGGGCCTGCCCTAGGGCTCTAAGCTCCGGAGCCAAGTGTGTTGGCCAGCGGGTGATGGTCCCCCGGGCCCTTCTTACTGGTTCCACACACTTTCTCTGTCCAGGTGCACCCAACATCCCATCCTCCCAGACCCTTGGGGAGCCCTGCCCCTCTGTGGCCTCTGCTCCCTCATTTGTTAAAGGACAGGGGACCAGAGGCTTACTGGAGCTCCTTCAACTGCTGTGTCCCACAGACTGTAGTCTGGTGGGGGTCTCCCTTCTGGTGAGCCCCCAGCCCAGCCCTGCTGGTCTCACAGAGCCTGCCTTGGCCTGGTGCCAGAGCCCAGAGGGAGTGATCAGCTGGTGGAAGCCCAGGGGCTGGCGCTGCCCGTAATGTTATACCGCTGGCTAGCCCAGCACCAGGCGGGTAGAGGTGGGTTCCTGGGCCCCTGGGGAGCTGCCCAGCCCATCCCACTCTGAGGCTGAGGCTGGGGACTCCAGGGGCAGGGGGGTGGGGTGGAGTGGGGTGGGGGGCAGCACAGTGGGAAGGGAACTCATTGGCTTTGTCAGGAGCCATCACCGCCCAAGCTGGCTTTCAGCCAGACTTACCCAGTTCCTGGGAAAAGGGCCCTGCTCTCTCCCAAGCCCCACACTCAGGACCTCCGGCCACCCACCCGGGAGAGAAGGCACAGTGAGACCCCTTGTCTAGTCCCCCAGCCCACCCAGGAGCTCCCTGCTCAGCCCTGTGCCCTGGTGGGGGCAGGGCCCAGCTTCCCCGCTGCCTCTGCTTCAGCCGGGTTGGCCCCAGCCAGGCTGGGGTCAGAGGTCCTGGGGGAGTCTGCCTGGTCCCAGAGCCTCCATCCTGACCACAAAGCCAGGGACCTGTCTGGAATTAATGGAGATGCTTGTAGCAAAGCCACCAGGGTTCCCGGGACAGGCAGGAAACGTCTCTCTCCCTTCTCTGTGGCCTCCCCACCCCCACCAAGACAGCAGAGGGGCTGTCTGTCCTGAAGTGTTCTCCCCAGTGCCAGGGGGCCAGGGACCCCGGTTCTTGGAAGGGTTGGGACATCCCTGGGGGTGCCGCTGCTCGAAAGCCGTGTTTAATGGCAAGGGCCCCTGCTTGGGGGCGAGTGCTGGGGCTGGGCAGTTCAGGACAGCCAGGTTCGGGGTGGGCTCTCTTACCTGGGGGCGCACAGGGGGCAGCGCCAGCCCAGCCAGGAGCTGCAGAAAACAGGTGAACAGCCTCATGGCCAGCATCTTCTCAGACGTCTTGATCCACGGAGCTCAGAAGGAAATCCACCATGCTCCCCTGGCACAGGGAAAGGAGAGTCCAGTGGGGCTCAGTGCTGTGCCCTGGCCCCTGCGGGGGGACCGAGCATGCTCTAGAAGCCGTCGGAGTCGGAGCCCGCAGGTCAGGCAGTGCTGGGGCGCCTGGAGGGAAGCGGTCCGCAGGGCCGTCGGTGCGAGGCAGGCGGGTGCCAGGGAGGCTCCGTCGGGCGCCCAGCGCGACCTCGCGTTCTCTGTGGCGGGGCCAGACAGAGGCTGAAGGTGCAGCTTCCTTCCCAAGCAGCAAGCGACCTTCTGGGACCGAGGCTGGTCGGCGACTGGGTTTCAGGGCTGGGAATCGGGGCGGGGCCCTGGGCCACCCCGCCCACTGAGGGCGGCTCCCGACGGGCGGGGCGGGGCGTCGGCGCTCGGCTGCGCGGCCCGGATCCCGCCGCGTCCGCTAGATGCTGAGACCGCGCGGGAGTCCAGCCCGCAGCCTGCCCCGGGGGGACCCCGACCCACACCACAGCAAGGCCGGTCAGCAGCGGGGGCCACGACCTTCTCGGGGTCAACCACCGTGGCCCGGGCGCCCAGATGTGAGTCCAGCATCTATCTGCCCAAGAACTGTGAGGAGCTGGGGCCCCAACTTCACAGCAGCCATCGGCTGAGGACACCTATGTCACCCCTGGTCTGGAGGGTGAAAGATGGCGAATCCCACTTGACAGCTGAAGAGAATGCCTGTGCCTGTTTGTGCTGTTAAAATACAAGCACCCTTGCGGGTGGGGGCGAGGGAGGGAGAGAGAGAGAGAGAGGGGAAGGAACCTAAGTCTCGGGGCCCCTGGACCCGCAGTGCACCCCTTCCTGGCCAGGCCAAGACAGAGCAGAGCAGCCCAGCTGTGGGGCTGCTGGAAACACCTGGAGCACAAGGCTGGGAGGGGGTGTGTGTGGAGCGTGCCCCAGTTTCCTCCTGGGGAAGTAGTGGGCTCAGGGTCCCCACCCCAGCCCAGCAGAGCACCCGTGCAGCTGGGGTGGTGAGTGGCTACTGTGGCATTTCCTTCTGGTCCGCAGGAGCAGGGATGTTTCCACGACCACAGAGGTTAGCTGACAGGGTGTGGATCTCTAGCTGTCTGGCCGTGTGTGTGTGTGTGTGTGTGTGTGTGTGTGTGTGTGTGTGTGTCTGGCCTTCCAAGGGTAACTCTGGGTGGGAACCGCCAGCCCCCCTCCGCCCCCATCTGAGAGTTGGCTTGCCTGCGTGTGTCCGAGGGTCGTTTCTGTGTGTGACTCTCTGTGCGTGACTCTCCAGATGGCTTCTCTGTGTTAGCACCACTCCCCACCCCCACTCCCTACCTTGTCCTCCACGCCCAGGTCCCCAACTCCAAGAAGCTGGATTCTGGTCAGGGCTTGGCCTGGGTGTAAGGCCCTTGGATGGCTACAAGGGAGGCCGGGGAGGCAGCCTCCTCCAGCATACATTTCAGCTAGGAGTAAAGAGGCCTGGGCAACCCAGGATCTGACCTCAGTGACCTCTGTGTCCGCTGCCTCCCTGCCTGGCCAGCCCCCTGCTCGGAGATCCAGGAGCCAGGGGCCGGTCGCTGGCTGGCTGAGAACATTCTGACGTGCTCCAACATTTGGGGGCTCTTGAGGCAGACAGACTCCTTCCTGAGCCCAGGTCATGGCCGAGGGTGACTTAGTGTCACTGTGTGTCATTGGAAGTGAGTGGGGCATGGTTGTGGTTTCTGCATCATGTAAGTTTACGCTCATTGTGTGTGTGTGTGTGTGTGTGTGTACACATGTGTTTGTGTCTCTAGTGTGGATGTGGGTTTGCTTTAGATATACATTTAGTCTACAGGCACGGGTATGTATTGCAAACACATACATGGTTGTCCATAACTGAATGTTTTGTGCGTTTCTGCATTGTTTGTACTTGCCTTATAAGTATGTTCCCGGAAATTGCAAAAAAAATTCATGGGAGAATGGAGTTAGAAGATAATGAACTTCTTCCAAGAAATTTTTGAAGGCCCCAGGGATGTGTGTGTTGTGTATGTGTGTGTTTGTATTCATTCATCTGTCCTTTGAGTCATGGTTGTGGTGGATGGAGGGTTCCCGGAGTTTGCATTCATGTGTGTGTGTGTGTGTGTGTGTGTGTGCACGTGTACGTGTGCAAGATGGATACAGATAACTGAGGGATGCAACTTTCTCGAGCGCAGTGCCTTTGAAACTGTCGTGATTCCTGCAAGCTTGCCTTTTTGTCAGTTAATTGAGGACCACGTCCTCACCCCAACGCCCTGGGTTGTGAGATGTGGGAGCTGGGGCAGCTCGGTGGCAGAAACAAAGAAACGCTCAACCCGCATGGATGAATCCACTAGAGGGCACATTTGAGGGAGTCCCCCCAGGCAAGGAGCCTGGAGGAACTTCCTTTGGAGTCCCCCTTTGATGCAAATGACTAACACTCTTGGCTGCTGACCGGCTGGTGGCTTTGACCTGCTGAACTTGTGGTGAGCAGCTCAATGAGTAACCCACTACGAAGGCAGCAGGGCCCCTGGTCTCGTCAAGTCCCCACTGAATGAACGAGCCCCTGGAAACACCCTGCAAGTTCCAACTCCAGCTCACACGAGGTCACCGTGTGGGAATGGGTGGGGCAACCGCTAGTCTCAAAGAAAAAACAAAAACACAACGTGGCCACTACTTCTCCGTGCCCGGGTTCCCCCCCCCCCCTTAAAACGGGAATAACAATAGTAGACATAATTCTCCCAGGGGTGTGTGAGTACTGATAAAGCATCGGAGGCTGCGGGGTGGGGTGCCGTGGGGCAAGAAATGATTCTTATGAGAAATAAAAATACTATGGTTACAGAGCCAAGTGCTTGCCAGCCTGGAGACGAGACGGAAAAGAAAAGAGCTAATGTTTCTTTTGATTGTGAAGAAGCAGAAGGGTGGAGGGATTCACAATGTCAAACTCTGTCCTTACAAGTGTTAATCCTGAATCATTTATTAAAACTGCATATCAATATTTTCTCTCAATATGTTGGCATATATTGTGGGCACATATTTTGATGGTGTCATCAAATGATTTACCTGACAACAACTAAGACTCTAATTCTTCTTCAAATGGTCTACAAATTATTTGTTGACCAAAGTCTCACAGGATTACAATTGTTCTATCTAGCTGCCAGAAGAGGTAAGTCTGTGATCATAAGAACTGCTATTTGTCTGACAGCAACTTAAGACCATCCCGATTTTAGAGGTGTAATATGTGCTTTACCTTTGTCAAATATGGCTAGGAGTCAGGCAAGTCATAGAAGCCTCGGGCCACAGTGACAGTCATGGAGTGTGGGCCTGAGCAGTTTGAGGGTCCGGTCCTGATGGGTCCTTCAGCTTCCAGGCTAGCCCTGGCTCATGAAGCCACACACAGACTGCATTAGTCATGGGCTCAGTCCAGTAAGACCTGCCCCGACTTGTCTCAATCGCCTGCTTTCTGACTCACTTTCCCATTTGACCTGAACATGCTCGTTGGTCTTACCCTCTGAGCTGTTTCCCAACCTTGACCTTTACCTTCTCGCTTAGTGGCAGGTCTGTGTCTGTGTCTGGCGAGGTGTCTCAGGTGGCCCCGGGAAGGCCACTCTCCTGCAGACCCTTTCCCTGAGCCCCAGAGATGGGTGAGAAGGAGTGTGTGCCTCCTTCCTGACTGGCCGAGGGAGAAGGCAGTTCTGCACAAGCGGCCTTTTCACGCTAGAGTTTGGACATGCTCTGCAGCCGATGGTGACCCTGAGACACTTTGGGCTGGCCTCTGACGCCTTCCAGCTCCTGCCTCTAGTCAGGGATTTCCTGAGGACCCACCCCAGACTCAACCCTGTACGCTGGCTCCCTCTACCCATGGCCTTTTCCAGGCAGGACCCAGGAGCCTCCTTGGTCATCAATACAGAATGTTGCATGACCTCCCCTGGTCATACCTGTTCCTCTGCATCCTAGTTATGAGTTCGTCGGTCTTCCCACAACGACCGTAAGATCTAAGGGGCTGGAAGCTGTGACTCTCAATCACCTTTGTAAACATGCACATACCAAGCCAAAACAACTGTGACATGGCTCTGGACGCGTTGGCATTTCATTCTATGTGCATACAGTCAGAACTGACTCTGCGGCACTAACAAACCCAAACCCAAACTGGTTGCCGTCCAGTGGACTCTGCGTGATGTTGCCCGCATGTGCTTCCCAGTAGCAGTGGGCTCCATAGGGTTTCCTGAGGGTTGGCTGTGGCCTTTCTAAAGTCAGCTGCCAGCCCTTTCTTCTGAGGCACCTCTGAGTGGATTTGAACCTCTGACCTTTAGGTTAGTGGTCAAGCGCTTAACCGTTTGCACCAACCTGGAGCCTCCTGCCAGAATAGGTGCTTAGCTGGTATTTCTTGAGTTGACCCACAGCACTGGCCCCTCTCCATCTAGGGACACCTTCCAGAGGCAGGCTGCCCATTTCCCCCTCAAATGACCTTCGGTCTTTAGGGATAGTTCTCTTGGATGGCATACTCAAAACCTTCCCACATGGGTGGGCCTCTCTGCGGGGGGTCAGTGTGGGAGAACAACTTGTGACTGTGTTATCATGCATTGGGCTGGTCACCACAGCCGTCCCACTGGCCCCCAAGGGACCAGGCTTGTGCCTCAGTCCCGAGCCCAGAGTCCAGTGGGAGGCCCCGGGTGGAGCTGAGCGGAAAGGGGGCCAGAAGGAGAGCCTGTGGGTGAGTCTGTGGTTCCCAGGGGGGAAACAGGATGGCACTGCCACAGGGGCTGGGAACAAGGGACGCCAGGCGAGGTTGCCCACGCCACGGTCCCAGCCATTTGGGCGGCCTGCCGTCACAGGGGATTGGAAACCTGTACTTTGCGAACTTGGCAACCAGGGCTGGGTTTTCGTGTTTTCTGTAATTATTTCCCTTGTGCTCCCTTAGTCTTTAGTAAAGCTCTTGGTGCAAGTGCCCACTGGTCTCAGCTGTGTCTCAGGGAGGAGTGACAAAGGGGCACTCTGGGCCTGTGATGGCTCACAGGGGCCCGGCTTCATGGTGGCTGGAAAGTTAAGGACTACCATGGTGAAAGGGAGGCTCTGGATCCCCAGCTGGCCGCACCCCTGTCCAGCCTGCCT